CTACTAATAATACTGGGTAGTATTCAAGAAAATTGTTGCTTAATAATTGATTACTACCTGGGTATATTAATATAATATTAAAGAAAACTAGTATGTATTTTGAATTTTATAATAATAATATACCCTGCCATTAATACTACTCCCCTCCTAGTAAAATACCTCCCGGGTATTGTATGCAGTGGTATACGGTAATACTAATACAAATGCAGACATATTGGAAATAATAGAGATGGAATTGGGTAATAATTTATTAAGTGAACAACTTTGGGAAAATGATAAGATAAGTGATTGAAAAAGTGATATTTATTTAGAGAAAGAACAAGATATTTGTAACAGACTTTTGAGAGATGATGTTTGGTTGAAGTGGAAACCAGATGCCAATTTAAAAAAAAGCAGCTGTGGTTCTTTAAAATAAGAAAAATGTCAAAATCAATATATTATGACAAGTAAGGCCCAAGTGATTTATAAACAGTAGCAGCAAAAGGGTTTCAAAATTAAAAATTTTTTTAGTCAAACTAAAAAAAATAATCAACAAGTCAAATTGGTATAAGATATTTCATTGAATAAAGAAATTGCTTTGCCATTAGAGAATATAATTTTAAGTTTGAAAAAAGATTTAAAGAAAAATTTACTACAATGTCAACAAACGAGCATATTTGGAAGAGAGCTATTTTTGAGTATTCTGTATGTTTAATAAAGGGAAGAAAAAAATGAAAGCAAATATAGAAGTGATGAAAATAATATATAATAGTAATAGTAAGTTAAAAGCTACCCAGGTTTACGAAATAGCAAAATATTGATACAATAATTATATATTGCCTATATCTTGTCACAGAAAATATTCAAAAACTTAGCAAAATAATTGATGATAAAGATATAGCAGAAAAATGTTATACATGGATTTGTGCAAATGGAAAATATATTACACCACATCAATTCAAAGAATTTGTTTAAAAATCATTATTACTAGAAATATGTATTAATAAGACAATAAGCATAAGTATAGCACGACGATAATTAAATATTCTTGGATATCATTATTAACAACAAAAACAAGGAATATATTATGATGAATATGAGAGAAAAAATGTTGTTAAATATTGGCATATATTTTTATCAGAAATAGCCAAGTTCAAAAAATATATAGTAACTTATAAAGAAGAAAATATGAAAAGAATTGCACCTATTTTAAATTTAGAAGAGAAGAAACACATATTAGTAGTTTATAATGAACACATTTTCTATGTGAATGATGGAAAATATGAAATATGGATCAAATCAGGTAAGTTATTATAATGCAAAAAAGGTAATGAAAAATCGATTATAGTGAGTGAATTTTTAACTGAAACTTGTGAGAGACTCAAACTTACTGTTGAGTATATTGAGAATTATTCTGACATTTCAAAAGAAGCACAAGCATATTTAAAACCAGGAGCAAATGAAGAAGGTTATTGGACAGCTGCATATTTTATTGATCAAATCGAATATAAAGCCATTCTTATATTTGAGGCTTTGTTTTCAAATTGTATTGCAATATTCATTTTCGACAATAGTTTAAACCATTCTGCATTTGCACTGGATGCATTAATCGCAAAAAGAATGAATATTGGATCTGGTAAAAACATACCAAAAATGCGAGATACTTTTTCAGGTTTGAATAATGAAAAACAATGTATGAATTTTCTTGATGATTAGCCAAAAGGTATAAAGCAGATTTTATGTGAAAGAGGATTGTGGAAACAAAATATGGTAGGAGAATGCAAACTATATCAAAATGAAAACAGTGATCCTTTATGTACAGATTGTTGTGAAAAAAAAATTATATCTCTATAATTGGATTTTCTGGCTCAAAGATTAGCTTTGATTGAAACAATAAAAAATTCTGGTCATGTTTGTATGTTTTTTCCAAAATTTCACTATGAATTGAACTTTATTGAATATTATTGGGGAGCTGCCAAATGATATGCTAGAAATAACTGTAATTATATGTGGAGCGGATTACAAGAAACAGTCCTTTGTGCTCTTGTTTCTGTTGATTTAATAACAATTCATAGATTTGCATGAAAAATATGACGATATATGGATTTGTACAGACATGGAATTACAGGTAAATTAGCAAAATATGCTGCTAAAAAATATAAATTGTACAGAAGAATCCCTGAAGATATATGGGATGAATTACAAACAAATTAATTTGAAACCAGAAATGTAAGTGCACATTATATAAATAAGCATATACTGTTCAATCTACAATATTAATATTAAAGTCGAATTTTACTTTATTTGAAATTTGAAGCATTAAGGCATAATCTAGTAATGATGAAAACGATAGAAAAAGTGAGGAAAAGAGCTGTTAAACTAAGCACCACTGGTTATTTGGAAAAAATGAAAACAAAAAAAAAAAATCATGCTGAAGTTGAAGATAATAAGGAAGGATTATTCAAGAACTATGATAAATTCTCTGGCCCAAGAATCTGAATGCGACGATAATAACATACCTTCACTTAAAAAAATAAATGTTTGTGTTAGTAAATAGAAAACCAGCATGCAGGCAAAGAACCTGGTCTCAAATGATTATGGGCTAAAAGTAACAGTAAAAGTATAGAAGAAGACTGCCAAGTTAAATATTTTGACTTGTTTAGAAAATATAAGAGTATGAAAGAAAATATTATATCAAAGTTGAAACTGATGCAGGAGGGTTATTCAAGAACTAATTCAAAGACCAAGTCCCGAAAGTTGAAATGTGATACTAATGATATGTTCCCACCAAAAGAAACTACAAGTGTAGTCACTATTAAAGAACAGAGAATCGTCGCAGAAAGTTTAACCAAGATTTCGATTTCAAATGATGAAACCAATACAGTACATGTTGACAAGATTGACCATAAAAGATGCTATGATATGACTGATAAAAACATTCTGTAAAACAAATGTTCAAGTGAAGTAGAAAAAGTGGAAGATGATGAAAGAGAGGATGAATCAGAAGGACAGCTAGAAGTTTGTAAAGAGAAAAGGAAAAGGTATGGTAATGCTGGCTCCAATAATGAAATGTGACCAAAGATCTTGGATACCACCATATGATTCTTTCAACTGGAAGAAATGTTGATAATAACCAAGAATGATCTGAAAACAGTCAATAAAATTGAGGAGAAGGAAATAATAAAAGTACTAAATGTCATGCAAGAAAAAGAGCTATTGATATTACATAATGATATTTGAAAAGAAATGATAAGGATAGCAATTGAAAAAGTTAAAACAGGCAGAACACAAGAAAAAGAACAGAATGTGTGAACTAATATAACATCAATAAAGTCAGGTGCACCCATATCAGTGGAAGGAGTATTAAAGTTAACAACTGGGAATTAAGAAAAAAGTGTGATAATAAATGAGACCGATAAAATTAAGATTAATCAAAGGACAGGTAAAAATAAAAAAGCATCGATTAGAAAGAGAACAGCACTTGTAATTGCTCGGAAAATATGTACACCTGGAGAGGAGACGTGCAGACTGTTCAATATTTCTGCAGCATGGCAACAATGGTTAGAAGAGTTTCTTTGTGAATTTAAAATAAAGCTCATGAAAACACATCCTGATATCTTTATGAGATTAGCACTTCGCATAATGATGATAATCATAGGTAAAATAGTTCAGATGAGCTGCTTTGCAAGGAAGCTGCTAATCGACAATATTGTCGAAAGGACCATAGTACACTCTAAGTGTGATATAGTGGTACAAAACCATGATACTGTCTCGATTGACTGTGATGTGCAACAAGTCAAACAAGATACATAGAGAACCATCGATAGGAAACAGTATTGATAATAATAAACATACAGAAGAATAATTAAATTTAGCAATGTTTTTATGTTACAGCAATATGTATAGTTGTAAAAATTGAAATTAAACAGAATCGCAAGGAATCGTATGAGGTTCAAAACACTATTAAAAATGATAGTGGATATACCTCACCTATTAAATTTAATATAAACTTGAGAATCGAATACAGAATCAAAGAGAATTGTTAGGATCCTTAACAATATGTGACAGATACAATAAATGTAGAAAAGATAGCAATAGTTTATTGTAATGACAAGTTTGTAATGAAGAAGTTTTATATAACATGGGAGTTCAAGGCATAATTAATTCAATTCATATCAAACAACATAGTGACCTTTATATGTAACATATATCTCAAATACCAGAATGTTGTAGATGATATAGTCAAGAAAAAACATATAGTTTGAGAGTCTAATGTGTGAATAACTTGACCCATGTTGGATGTCATTGGAGAAGCTGCGGCACATGACCATAAGGAATCAAGATCTGTTTTGCCTATCAGGCTACAAGTCTAGAAGTTAATGTCACTCATGGCTAGTAAATATTATCCTATAACTAAGAAGAGGTACCGGAATAGTAAATGAAGAGTTAGGAGGGTAATCACTGTATGGTGCAGTAATATGATGCATTTGTCATGCATTAGTGATAAGCATTCAAAACTTATTGAGTCTAAAAGTGATTTGTATAATATAATAGTAGACAATTATACACATCGCTAGTAATATAAATAGAAGTAGAGTAGCCTAGTCAAAAGACAATAACTTTTACTCTTGTAATTTACGATCTTGTTTTAATAAAGCAATAAATTGTCATTTGTATCTAATATCTGCTACTCTAAAGATAACTAGTGTATCGCAAAAGATTCAGAAAGATCAGAAAAGAAAATCGTGGCATGAATCAAGTACTGGTTTAATAATTAAAAGAAGTACTGTTATTGGAAACCATTGGCCAAATCGTAATGCACCTTAAGAGAAAGAAAAGCTTATCCCTTTAAACATATCATTATGTGAGTACTGGTTTCAGGATAGTGGCAGACTTGCTGAAAACAATGATAACATTATAAATTCTCATTGTGATTTCAAAATATTTTATTGGGCAAATGTTATATGATTGTTAATAATCTGCAGAACAAAAATTTTGGGCTGTTCAGTCTTTAGATAACTTGCATTATATTAATCAAAACAAGATTACATCACAAAAAAATCAATCAATCAACACATTAACAAAAACATTAACAATTACAATAACAACATATGATCTAAGCAATATGTCAATAATACTATTGTCTACTTTAGACAATAGTCTGACCATTTCTGAAAGTAGTACTTTATTTCAATTGAATGAATCAATCAGCATGGCATACCTAATCTAAGATATTTCTTGTATGATAATCAGTTTTTTTTTTACTTTTCTTTCAGTTATCATCAAATATCCAAATACAAACTATCATATCATCACTACAACAACAATACTATTATGATTAGGGCTCCTAACGATACCATTTTGATACCACTTTGATATTTAAATTTACTATAAAAACATATTAGTAGGTTACAACCCATATATTAAATTTACTATAGATCAGTACTATTTCAATATCAGTTCAATACCAGTTTGATACTTTTTCGGAACCCTAATTATGAACAATCATCTATCAAGAAGATACAGTATATCATCAATATTATTACTGTATATACAATACTTTGAATAGTAGTCTAGTCATTTCTGAAATGCAACTATTGTATTTCAGTTAAATAGAACTATCAGTGTAATGTACCTATTGATTTTATCTGAAGCATTCATAGCTTTACAATTAGTTTTGTTGTATATATTTTTTTGTTTAGTATTTCTTTTTTTCTTCAATTTTCTATTTCTTATAGTCTTATATATAAACCTGAGTAATGTTAAACCTAAAAGTTTAACTTTCCCGAAATAGGAAATTTCACACCAAACATCGATCTAACACATTATTTCGCTAATAATAGACCTATAGTATTTTTATCCGCTGAACAACTTTACTTAGAACCTGGAAAAAGGTTTCAATTACCACTTTTGCGATAATCAAGGATTTTGGTCAAATGTTTATAGTTTCCAATTAAAATATATTGTTATATCACATGATCAAGTGATAATCTTCTAAGTTATGAACATGAAGAATTGAGAAACATGTTACAAATTAGCCTTTCATTAACTTTTCCATATTTGTATTATTTGTTACTCTCAATAATTTAGCACACCAATTATATCCTTTATTAAAATCAAAAATATTTTAAAAGAATCAAACTTTATTGGACTGTTAGAAAAAAAAATCCTAAACCTAATTCAGCTTTTAAACAATATTTGTAAAGATATAAAAGAAGAAAAAAAAAGTTTTGTATTCTACTTTAAAATATAGCAAAAGTATATAATATAGTTGGTTTAATAATACTCAAAAAAGTATTGCAAAAAATAAAAATTCTATTCAAAATTATTAGACTGATATTGAAACTATTTATTAATAGAACAATTCAAATAATTACAAATATAGGCGTTACTGAAGAAGTAATAACAGGAGATAGAATCAATCAAGAAGAAATAATCTTTCCTATTTTAAAAAATTTTTTATAATTCTTTTCTATGTAAAATTCAAGAAAATTAGACTTTAGAATATAATTTGAACTGTACTTGGCCAGTAAATTTCAGTAAAACAGTTCAAAACAAAGAAAATTTATAAAAGTTTTCTATTAAAAAAGTAATAATAACATATATGAATAATACAATATAAATTGCTCAATTTAAACAAGATATGAATTATATTTTAAAAAGGGCAAATCAGTTTTATACAACTAATAACTCTTAGATTAATATCAAAAAATTCATATTAATAATAATCAATAGTAAAAATAAAGAGTCAAATAAAGTACAAATAGGAATTAATTAAAAGAAAGTCATCAAACTGAACTAAAAACATCATTTCAATTTTTTAAAAATCTGGCTTGAAAACAAATGTTATATCAAAGATACAATTCACAAAATTTAACAAGAAATTCAATCAGTAATATTTATCCTCAAAAAAAAAACACAAATATATGAAATATATATTAAACAGAGTCCTAATTCTATAAATTAAATACAAATCACAATACTATATGAATAATTATTTTCAAAGATGAATCAGAAATTTTCTGGCATGATCCTAAAATTTATATTATATATGTATTGTTTAAAAGTTGGATCTGAAAAAATCATATCTAACATTTTTGTCACCTTCAAAAATAATTACCCATATACTTAACTTCATAGCTTACATTCCATTGGCATAATTGCAAATAATTCTAAAATATATTGTAAACATATCCAAAATAATATTCAACTTAACAATTTATTACAAGTCACTATACAGATAAAAAGTATCAACAAAATTCAATTAAAAAATCAGATCTTTAACTTTACTAACTTGCTTAATAGCTTTGGATATCCAATTATTTCTATAATTATTTGTTTTAAACAAGCTCAAATTTAACAATAAAAACTTACAAACATACTTATAGAATCAACAATACAAAAGTAATTGAAAACAAATCTGCTAGTAACAATTTTCAAAGTTATAAACAGTATAGAGATAATGTATTCTGATTTTCAATAAACAGATAACTTTCAATGAAAAGAAAGTACTTACTTAATAAAAATATTATAAAATATATAATTATTATAAGAGTGAAATGATAAGTCAGTTGCTAGCTAATAATAAATTTTGTGAAACAATAATGTTAGATTTATTTAATAATAGAGCTTTTGTTGAGGCATTAGATTTGGTCAAGATAAGTGTTTTTTTTATTAAAATATAATTCAGAATCTCCTATATTTACAAATTTTTATCTATTAATTTATATTTTTTTCCAAAAACAAAATAAAAGAAAATTAAAAAGACAAAAAAAAATAAGAAATTCTAACACTTTTTTTCAGTAATTACATAAGTTAGTCACTAATTACACCATTATTGCCCATATTTTCAGATTATTACTAATTTTTATTTCTTTAATATGATACTGGGTCAATTATTAATTACATGATTCAAACTGCGTTACTTTCCATTTTCTTTCTCTCTTATATTATATAATCTAATACATAAGAAAACTTAACATTATATTTATTAATCAACTTATAAAAGCAAAAACCAATATTTTCTTAAGTTGGAAACTAATTTAGTCTCTGTATAATTGCATATGGTTTCAAAA